ATCACTTGTTTCCTTTCTACCTATTCACAATCACACTAATATGTACTCGCACCTATCATTTAACATATACACTAATATAATCAAGCATACATACATTTCATGTCATTCATATTACATAATGTAGTCATGTAAATCATGTCACATACAATAACATTTTAAGAGTTACTTCTTACTATAGTAACTCCGTCACTGACTCATCGCAAGCCAATGTTCTTCTATAACATAAGCACAAATTAAATTGTACTCACCTTAGCCTTGCTTGCTTTGATTCAATCATAACTCTTCGATTGTTCCGTAACTCGTTTAGGCTCGATATATACATAAATATAATTTCCGAGATAATTATCAAAAGCCTAAACCTTATAACTTGATGTTAATAACTCAAACTAGTTTAATGAACCAAAATTTCATTTTTCCTTTAGGGGTGTATCGATGCACTATGGGTGCATCGGTACACAAAATAGTTCGAACTCCCATGCATCGATGCACATTCAAAAATTATCTTAGTGCATCGGTACATACTCATAGTGTATCGATACACCTGTCCAAAATAGCCCGAAATTCATCAATACTTCACCCAATTTTCATGTATAAAATCCTTATCATGCTACTAAACTCATCTATAACAACTTTAACTAATTTCTATCATTCCAACACTTTATAATCTCCCATATTTCATCCAAATTCTCAAGGCTAAGAATCATACCAAATTTTCCATGTTATCCAAACTTAATTCTAACACTTCTAACTTCTTATTCTCATAGATGACAAGTCAAATTCATCATCCAAATTCATTTAAACCTTCTTATTCAAAATTCCACCTAAAAACCCATTTTCTTTAATCTTTCGTAACTTCTTCGTCTTTTGATTTTAAGATAACTTAAGCTTTCCTTAAGCTTAGTTATCATCTAATGATCGAAACCCACTCTTAAAATTAACAAATAATCAACAAAATATAAAACTCACCTTTGCTCTAGCTTGGGCATGTTGGAGAAGAGAAGAAGATGAAGAAGATGAGAATTGTCTTGAAACTTTGTTTCCAAACATGCTCCACATGGGTTATTATAATACCCATAAATTCTTATTTACTTATTTTTCTTGTTCAATGACCTATTTTCCCTTTGACTCTTTCAATAATTACTAACAACCCTTCAGGAAATACTTTCAAATAAATCATTGAACTTTTCAACTTTTCCACTTTAATCACCAAATTCTAAAATGTTACAATTTGATCACTAACCCGTAGTTTGGGATGTTACAACCTTTCTCTCTAATATGGATATCCATACTGGTATGAATACGAGTAGATTCTGGTCGACCCATCAGACTTCTACGAAGTAGTGGATTTGGCAACCATTCATCATGATCTAGATTATCCCAATAAGATTCATTTGGGATCGGTTTGAACTCATGGTTGTATATATTTAATATCCTCTGTAGGTGAAAGCACTCATCAACATAAGTGTATGAATTGATTCTAGTATGCATACATGCAGCTACTGCATAAGTACACAGATATCTCCACGCCTGAAAGCGGCCACAATCACACCATCTTTATCGTAAATTAAAAATAAATGATTCTCTATCTGCTACTTCGTTGCGACGTATGCATGCGATGACAACAAAAGTATGTCCAATTCGATCGAAGTCATGAACATACATTGAGGTTTCCATACGCTCATTTGCTTCCATTGTTTCTACCACCGTCGGAGCCCATATTTTACCGCGATTTATCAGACACTCGATCTCTTTGTCTTTATCACACCAAACTTTAGTCAACCTAATGTATGTCTCTTTCACCACACTCTCTATTGGGAGATGGCGTGTACGTTTAGTACCGAATTAATGGCCTCAGAAAGGTTTATAGTCATGTGTCCGTATCTCTGACCACCATCGTATGCTTGTGACCACTTCTCCCGCTCGATTTTCGATGCCCAGTTCCAAACGCGCTCATCTATGGCCTTCAAATCCTCCAATATCTTGTCAAAATTTGGTTGTCGTAGTTCATATCTTGTTTCAAAATAAATATTGTGTTAAAGTAAATTTATAAACAAACACATAAATTATTACAAATGCTTAAAATAAAACTTACCCATATTGACTATCTCCCTACGAATTCGGACGTTATGAAACTTCTCAATACAATTTTTACCAATATGACGGATACAATATGCGGGATATACGTACAGAGGTGTCCAATGACTTCCCGGTTATTCAATTGCTGCTAAAAGGTCTGATCCTCGATCGGATATCAAGGAAACTCCTTCTTCTCGGACAACATACTTACGTAGATTAGTCAGAAAGAAGTCCCAAGCCTCTGTCGTCTCTCCTTCAACGATGGCGAATACAATTGGGAATATATTTCGTTGACCATCTTGCGCAACTGCTATCAATAATATATGTTTGTATTGACCGTATAACCACGTACCATCTACTTGGACCATACATTTGCAAAATGGAAAACCTTCTATGCATGACTTGAACGCCCAAAAGAGTCTATGTAATATTTTCTTCCCTTGAACAAGTTAACCTTCTCGGTTGTATGCATACATAGTCTGAGACTTCATGATGGTTCCAGGAATGAATTGTTTCATAGCTCGTAACAAATCAGGTAACTCATTATATGATGTATCCCAATCACTATATATCAACCTCATTGCCTTCTCCTTCGCATGCCAAACGGGTTTGTATTTTACATTGTATCCGAACTGGTCTCGAATAGATGCAGCCAACACCGAGCAAGAGATCCGTGGATTTTATTCAACCAAAACCTTCACATATTGGCAAATTACATCGGAGTCCAATAGTCGATGGTCTTGTTCGTTAGATTTTTGTGTGTGTGGACCATTGTACCTTGAGATGACCCAAGCATCTTGCCTCTGTATTTTCGATACTCTGATCAGCCACTTACACTCATGCCCATATTTAACACACTTCGCGTACAAAGTTTTCTGGTTGGACTCTACAACCTTGAAATCTACATGGCCTCTTATGCAATACTTTTTAATCGCTAGTGTAGCTTCTTTTTTTTCCTCTGTATTGGTTCTCAACTGATAATTCACCAGAGTTATCAGACGATTCACTCATGTAGCATGAAGTTAAATGTGGCATCTCCGAGAATTCAGGTGCCCTCATTACTTCATAATCAATCTCCTACATGTGAGGGGTAGGTTGATACGACGAATATTCATCAATATTGATATCAACTTCATCAACATCAAATATGGCGTCATCCTCAGCCAAAGGAGGTTCCTCAGTTTCTTCTTCACTGGAATATTCAAGTATTTCTTCCCAACGGTTTTCAGCGTCATACTCTGTGGCTCCAGATGTTCCACCAACTTCATTTGCACTTTCCAACATCGCCACAAAGCTGCTCAAATGACTCTCAAACCCCATTTGAGATAAAGTTCCAACCGCATATCTTGATGACCAGGCACATTAGATATATTACACAACTCAACAAATAACTCAATAATTGAAATATTTGTTGAGTCATGTAATTCAACCATACTTATAATATCATCATCGTCTTCAAGTGGTATTGCAGCATACCTGACTGGATTGGGACATACAATAAATCTGTACCTCAAACCATCAACTTTAGCACGGATTTTTCTTTCTATCATCTCATTCATCTCTACAAATGTGATGTCTCTTTTAAACATCATATTTATAGGTGCTTCAGACTGAAAAATAACTCCGGCCTCATTTTCCATCATATGTCCATTGTAATGGACAATTGTGAAAAAATTGTTGCTCATTTTCTGTACACGTAAAATATTTTTTAAAATATGTTAAATTTGTTACATCATAATAACTAGTCTCATATTTTATATTACTCAATAACAAAATCTAAAATATAGTTCATTCTTTTAAAAAAATCAATCTAATTAATTTCTATTTAAAATTATAATCATGTAACAATTATAAAAATTACATAAAACTTACCAAATATTCGATTTATTTCTTCCTTTATTTGAACTTTTTTCCCAAAATAACTCTCGAACATGCAAGCTTCTCTTCTCTTCTTTTCTAACTTTTCCCTGAACTCAGTTATCCCCCATTTTATAAATCATATTCGATGCATTGTTGCTTCACAATGTCTCCATTGATTGATAATTGCTTTTGATCTAGCCCCATGCATTATTGATTTACTTTTGTAAACGTAATCTATGCATGCAATTCAACACCCTTTCTTTTACTTTTGCTTTGTTTTCAATCCTATTTTTTTGCTTTTGATTTGTTTTAAATCAAATAAGTATTATTTTATGCCCTTATCATGAATTATTGATTCACTTTGATCAAAGTTTTCTTTGTTTTAAATCTCATCCCGTCCCCACGTGCATTATTATTTCCATGATTTCCTGATTTTGCTGCAAATTTCATGGCTACCAAACATAACAAAGCTGATTTCACGTGCATGGAAGACACAAAGAAGACGCCTAGCAATCCAAGATAAATTGAAGACGCCTAGAGATCCATCAAAGCTGAAGACACGAGTAATAAAAGTTGAAGACGCCGAGAGCTCCATCAAAGTTGAAGACGTCGTGTAATCTGCTCCATAAACATGAAGACGCCGAGCTTTGCATGTTTCTTATAGCAATCACTCTATTTTGGGAAATAATAAGCTGATAACATTATCTTGGGAATTAAAGTTTTTCGTACGCAATATTTGGGTCGTTTTGCCTTCAGTTATTAGCAGAAGCTTTGCAGGACTCAAATCTCCATGACCATAATACTAAAGAATTGGATATTTTGTTTAAACTTCAACATTTCAACATGTTTTCAGATACTAATAAACCCTCACTATTCCCACATATCAGATGTAGGCATGGGCAGGCTATTTGGATTTATACAAAAAGAAGTATATATTATATTAGCTGTATTTGTACTGACTGCCATTTGCATTATCATTATAAACAGTACACAGTTACAGCCTTACAGGAACTACATTGAAATCAAAGCCTACATAAAGCCCCTCCCCGCGGCTTTCTTTTTCCCCAAATCATCTATTTTCTCTTGGGTATGCAATTTCTTCAACTTCCTTCCCCCTCATTTTCCTCTTTTTTATTTTAGTGTTGGTAGATTTTGTGCAGAAATATGGGTTCATCCCTATGGATTCTGTTGGTGGGCGTGTTGTTTATGGTCTCTGGAACAATGGGAGTCCCCCCTAGAAGGCCAGTAGCAGTCCCATTCGGGAGGAACTATGTGCCTACTTGGGCTTTTGATCATATCAAGTACTACAATGGTGGCTCCAATATCGAGCTTTACCTTGACATGTATACTGGTATGTATGAATATAATAACCAAGCTAATGTCTGTTGCCTCTATTCTATTCTCTTCCTATAATGTATCTTATATTTTCTGCTATGAAAGGTACTGGTTTCCAGTCAAAAGGATCTTACTTGTTTGGACATTTTAGTATGCAAATCAAGATGGTTCCCGGAGATTCTGCCGGAACTGTTACTGCCTTTTATGTGAGTAAAAAGAAAGCAATCCCATTGCCTAAATCTCTTGATATAATGCTTAAGGTTTGCTAATCAGTCACTACTGGCATCGCAGTTATCTTCTCAAAACTCGGAGCATGACGAGATAGATTTCGAGTTCCTGGGGAACAGGACAGGACAGCCATACATTCTGCAGACCAATGTGTTCACCGGAGGAAAGGGTGACAGAGAACAAAGGATTTATCTTTGGTTCGACCCAACCAAAGACTACCACTCCTACTCTGTCCTCTGGAATCTCTACCAGATTGTGTAAGTCACGTGTTTAAATTTCAACATTTGGTGATTTTTCAGGCTTAACTTTAGCCATGGAGTAATTGGCTTACTTTTAAGACTTTCAATGGGGAATTGATTGCTCCTGGAAATGCACTTTATTTTTCCAATCTATGTTTAATCTTTTTCTAAAGTAATGTTTTTGAAACATATGGGACAGATTCTTTGTCGATGACGTGCCGATTAGAGTGTTCAAGAACTGCAAAGATTTGGGGGTGAGCTTCCCATTCAACCAGCCGATGAAGATATACTCGAGCCTGTGGAACGCCGACGACTGGGCCACGAGGGGTGGTCTGGAGAAGACAGATTGGTCCAAAGCACCATTCGTAGCAGCCTACAAGGGGTTCCACGTCGATGGGTGCGAGTCATCCGTGGAAGCCAAGTTCTGTGCCACACAGGGGAAGCGGTGGTGGGACCAAAAGGAGTTCCAGGACCTGGACTCGTACCAATGGAGGAGGCTGGCCTGGGTCCGCAGCAAGTACACCATCTACAACTATTGCAACGACAGGAGCCGATACCCTACCATGCCTGCCGAGTGCAGGAGAGACAGGGACGTCTAAATTTATAATTTAAAACCCTAATCAACATATGATTTCCAGTACTATAATGATATAAAAGCAAGTACATGAGATGGATCATGTTGGGATGCTTTTCTTTCATTTCTTTCAAGCTTCGTTGTTGGGTGGCCTTCTGTATTTGTTATGTAATATTTATTCGGAGAATTTGTTATCATGATAATACTAAACTTATACTATTTTTGTGTGTATGATGCATTGGTTTAATCAATAATTATTGTAATAATGTTAATCAATTTCTTTGGAGAACAAACATGATGTATAATTATGAAATCTTGTTCTGTCTGGTATAAGAAATAATTAACTCTCAACTTTTTTATTATTAATTTAGGGGATTATAATATAATATTTATTTTAAAAAAATTTCAATTATTTAATAATTGGAGCTCAAATATCATTATAATCTTTTATACTCAAACCTGAAACATTTAGAAATAACAATAATTCTTTTAAATAATTAAGAACTAGTAATATAATTATATTTTTATTTTTATTTTTTTTTTACTTTTTTGCAGTATTTAGTATTTAAATTGTTATTTCTATCTAAATTTACCCAAAAAAATATTAATTAAAACATGACACGTGATTTTTTTTTACTAAAAACCGATAGTTTTTAAAATAAAATAAAATAATTTAAATAATAAAGTAAAATAAAAATAAATATTAAAAAACAAGTATAGTTAAAGGATTAAATAGTAAATAAAGTATTTGTTTAACAGTAACTAACTAATATATTGAAAAGAGAAGCTGACAACAGACATCCTCAAAGAAAGGGTATGGCTCATTGCGTTCTGACTCCAACCCCTATTCAGTTCCATTCCCACAGAATTGGATTTCTTCGATGCTTCACTGAATCACCTCTCAAGTTTCCTCTGCATCCTCCAGCTATTCGCCGTCGTTTTACCTCTCCCGGAATCTTTTGTAACTACGATGATTCCGATCGAAACAACCGGCCACAGTCCACTTCTGTTCAGCTCTACCGCGACATCGAGAGGTATATACACACGATTATTGTCCTCTCCGTTCTTCTGCTTCCTGGATTCTTAATTTTCGTTCTGATTTGTTTTTCAGATTACTTACGGACACCGTAAGGCAATCGCAAGGTGCTTGGGGTGGTTCGGGCGATTGGAGCCAAGTCGAGGTTATTACCTGATTTTTGTTCTCTAAGTTTTGAATTGGATATCTTGTTTTTATTGATTAAAGAATAACGGAGGAAATATATAAATGGTCAATTTTAATTTTATGCATTTGAGGAACTAGCTCTCTTTCCAACTCCTTTATGTTCATCATCTCATCTTTTTGCTTGCTTTTGATGCATCCAGGGATCATGGGTTCTCAAACCGAAAGGCTCTAAACCTAGAGCTGTTGTTCATTTCGTTGGTGGTATATTTGTTGGAGCCGCTCCTCAGCTTACCTATCGTTTGTTTCTGGAGCGTCTTGCTGAAAAGTGAGTGTTATTATTAGTTACCCGTAGCCTGCTTACCGAATTATTTTACATTTCTAGTGTGGTAGTAAAATGGCATATCCCCCCCCCCCAAAACACATATGTATGCCTTTTTTACCTAAACTGCTATCTAATCCTGTTGAAGCTGGAGCCTAATTAGGTTATCTTACTGAGAATTAAGTGAATTCACTATTTAACCTTTTTCTGTGATTAAGGGGCGTTTTGGTAATCGCAACACCATATGCTAGTGGGTTTGATTACTTCTTCATTGCTGATGAAGTCCAGTTCAAATTTGATAGGTGTTTACGGTTTCTACAAGAAACAGTGAGTTCTTACTATAATCGTCCAAATAAATATTCTTCCAATTGAAATCCCTCCCGCTTCACTTTTCCAAATTCATTTTTGGAAGAAATTAAAATGGCGACTTTATGGTCATGGCACAGGTGCATGATGTTCCTACATTTGGTATTGGCCATTCTTTGGGTTCTGTCATCCACCTTTTGATTGGTAATAGTAGATCTTCTTGTATGCTATTCATCCGAAGGATGCTCCTGCTTTTGCTTCCAGTTATTTGATTAATGAATTCATTGTACAGGTTCAAGATATGCCGTGCCAAGAAGTGGCAATGTATTAATGGCATTCAACAACAAGGTATTTGAACTTCTTGCTATGCATTCCTAAAGTTACTGAAAAGTAGTGCAAGATACTTGTGATTATGGAGGCATCTACACATTCTCAAATCAAATTGGTTCATCAAAAAGATGCCACTTAGCAACTTGCATATGAAGCTGATTTGGAGAAAAATTATAAGTTAATAAAGATTCATCTTCTCCCTTTTCTTTACTGTCTCTACAATCTCTGCTGAACCAAATAAATGAGATTGATCGCCTTCATTTTGCATATTTCTCGTTTCCCTTAAGGTTGAAACTGATTAGTAGATCTCTCATACTGTTTTTTTTACTGCTTATACATTATTCTAAGATAGCAACCCTATAATTACTCCTGTGAAATAAGATATATTTTATGATCCTGCAGGAAGCGAGCGTAGCCATCCCATTGTTCTCACCTGTTCTTGTGCCGATGGCCCAAAGCATTGGACCCTTTCTATCACAAATTGCATCAACACCCACAATTCGCATGGGGGTAAAAACAGAACTCGAGTTTCTTTCCTGATTTACATGCAAAGATGCAAATATATATATATAACACACATAAGTGATTTTCTCTAGTTCACCATTTTCTTTCCAGTTTTTAAGTGTGACTGTTTGACACGAAGGGTGCATCTCAAATGTTTTTCTTTTTCTTATTTCTGCCTAGAAGGACTGGTATTGTTGTGTGAGATTTGTCTTATGTTTCTTCAGTTTCCTGAAATTTATCTTCCATCCAGGGGCAATACTTCATTGTGTTTTCTCAAACTTGAGTTTATTCATTATGTGGTTACGGAATGAATGACTCATCCCATTTTAAATAAACTACTTGCAGGCTGAGATGACACTAAAGCAATTAGAGAGCCTTAGTCCTCCCATTATGAAGCAGGTTCTTCCATTAGTTGAGCAACTTCCTCCCTTGTACATGGACTTGGTCAATGGAAGAGAAGACTTTTCTCCAAAACCAGAAGAAACTCAACGACTTGTATGTAAAATCTCTAACTCTTTTGTTCCTGGGTTGTTTAATTAAATATTTTTTTTTGTTTTGTTTATAAGATCTTTCACCATAGACAAAATGTAATAACCTGCATGGCTGGTACTTGGATCTCAGGGTAGATAGTTTTGATCCATATCTAGACAAATTAGACTTTGGCATTACTTCTAATTGTGCTCATTTATGTTGCTCCTCTTCATTATTCCTGAAGATTAAGGGCAATGTAGAATGGCGAGAGGCATAGTTGATCATATGCCTAATTAGCCAGGCATCTTTTTTGATAGATTCTGAGTTTTTGTATTTTTTAATCTAGAACACCGTTCTCGCAGTTTCAAGTGGAACATGTTAAAAATTTGAACATGGTCCTTATTAATTGGATCGAAAGTACTGCATTTTCCTTTTAGATAAATCTTAAGCTAATTTTTATCATTCTTCATTTATTTTCAGATAAAGTCGTACTATGGCATTTCAAGGAATCTTCTAATAAAGTTCAAGGATGATACAATCGATGAAACATCAAACTTGGCTCAGGTGCTAAGTTCAGAGTCAGCCATCAGCTCAATGCTAGATATGTCAATTCGATCATTGCCAGGAGATCATGGGCTTCCTCTACAACAAGTATGCTTGTTACAAATTACTTTTAGAATCCTTTTGCATGAATGATGGATTTATGTTTTTATCATCGCCGGGAATCAAGAATAATGTGCTTCTGATTAAAACGATTCCAGCTAGCAATTGGGTTTGTAAATTCTTTCCTTGCTGGAAATGAAAAGCAGTATTCATAAATCTATGTTGCAGGCTCTACCAGATGTTCCACCTGCAATGGCAGATGCCGTGAATCGTGGAAGTGAGCTTTTGGCAAATCTGAGTGCAGGAACACCATGGGAGACTGTTGCCAAAGAGGTCAGCAATACATTAGGTGTAGATGCACCCGTTCTTCGTGCAGGAATTTCGAAGGACATAAACAATCTTGTGGACGTGATCACTTCCTGGATGGCTTCAAATTCAGGTGCAAAACTCTTAAAACCCTGATGAGTAAAATGAATTAGGCTATGTAAATAGGTTAAATTCATGTACTGCGTGAAAAGGAATGTTGTATCTGGTACCTCTGCTATTGTTTATAGGATTTATCCTTTTTACCACAAGAAAGTAGAATTTCATTAAAAACAAATCAGTCATGCAAAACCAACATACTGTGAGATAGACAAATGATATCAAACAGGAAACTTGTATCCTTCTTCACTATGATACCATGAAAAAGGGCAATTGCTTTTTCAGAATTCATGAGTAGTAAGCTACAATTACATTTTCTGGACGAGGGGTGTGTGTGTATCATTTTACTTTCAGTATTGCATTCCTTTCTTCACCTGCAATGTCGTTGGAGTGTCATTAGCAATATTGGGTTTGATATGTTGAGTCGGCAATATTGGATGATCATACCTCAGATTATGCATTTTAGTTTTACAGTAAATATTTCGACTGATATTTTTTTTGGTGTTGGGTTTGAATTCACCTCATGCAATTGTTTTTGATTTAGAGATTTAAAGATGGTATGGATAATTTAAATATTGTATAAAAAACTGTATATATACATATATATGAAATTTGACATAACTAATTCATTTTAATCATACATTCTCGAGATATTCATACTCTTTTTGTATCACAAATATTATAATATTTTCATCCCATGTAATCATAGTGTGTTATGTAATTAATGGTTACTTGGAACATAATCTAAAAACAAAATAATAGGAGCGAAGGCAGTACCATACATTTGGTCTATCAAAACTCTCACCAGTTTGGCCAATAAAACTTTAATTTTTAAAATACCAAAACGCATAACCTGATTATTTACAATACACAGTAAAAGCAGGGATCAAGTACAAGCCAAACTTCTCAAACATATATCTGGAAGGTCAACAACCTCCATGCTATCCGTAGCATCTATTCTTCATGATAAAGATACAATCCAAGACCGAATCGAGCACATGCCCTGCAGAAAGCCATTTCTTCCGCTGCAGCAACAGGATCCGATATGTTAATGTCGCTGGATGATACCGTGCCAGTAGACTCGCGATGCACCTGTACAAGAGTAAGCAAACAGTTTCAATGAAACATAACTAAATATTCACAGCACCAACCTGGTTAAATTTCATAGTTAAGACCACAAACTCTCCATTGTCTACTTTAATTGATCGAAATGGTCAGTATTTGGTTCTTTAAACAAACTTCAAATTAACGGTCTCATAAATCAAAAACTCCGTATGGATTTTAGTTGAAGAAAAAGGGGAGGAAGTCGTAATCTACTTCCAACTTTAAATAGATCACCATCACAGCAGCTTATATCCAGTAACACATTCAGAAAAAAAGCAGGTAAAAGGACTGTCAAAGAACCAAGTATGGAACACAAGGCTTAGAGATCCACTGTGAATGTGATCAACTTCATTACCCAAAACTTAAAATATGCATCACATGAACAAGATGGAATTCAGGTTGCTGGGACGGCAACTTTCACATTGGTGTTACTTTTATTAGGAGCCAAAAAGAGAATATATATATATATATATATATGTTGCCCAACCAACAAAAGTGAGCATCAAATTGGTGAGTTTACCCGCATTTTATCACAAACATCCAGCAATTTTTCATACATAAGATTTGAAATAGCTATGTCCATAACAAATTGAATGATACTCCAGAAGTTATCTAGCATAGGTATGTTCAGTTTTTTCCAAGTTTATTAGAGAGGTGGACCTCAATACCCATGTGACCCTTAAGGAGGCCTCTAAAATCCCCTAGGAACCTACCGCCTCTGCTCCCCTCTTAAACCGTGTTAAGTTTAGATAATTGTATTTCACGTACGTTAGCCATACACTTAAATATACGAGTCATTGCAGGGGCGTCGCCTACAAATGGGGTCCGGTCACTCAACCACATTTGTACCCAAGTTGCCGAATCAAAACAAGCCCCAAGCATTTTTCACACTCTAGCATCCTTCTTCTCTCATACTAAGTTAAGCATTTCCGAGGCTAGCTAGTGCATCCAATTCTTTTCGGAGTGCAATTAGGGAAGGAAGTGGAGTAGGGTGGGGACGGACATTTTCAAATCCAACACCGCTCTCCAGTTGGCACGCCCTGCCCACTCCACTGTTGATTTGTAATCTTGAAAACCACTACCACCCCATTTGGAACGGATCAATTTGAAATTAACTTGGTGGTTTGGGGTTTGCCGTCCCTAACTGCAACATAAATGTTGACTAAGACATATGAGGTTAAAGTACCGGGCCTAAGTCTGCACGTTTGCCTGACTCATCAATTGACGCATGCTCAAGCTACTTCTGTCTCTTAATATCTTACATTTGAATCTTAATTCCATCTTCGAAGTCTATTCATCAAACTCAATCTCAAGTCTAGATTCCCATCGGTGGCTTCAAATTTATGTTTTGATGTTACAGGAGCATCTTAATACTTAATTGATTATTTTAGATATTCTTCTATGTTTTATTACTTAATTTATGTTTTCTTAAGAATTGCAGATAATTGTTATCATAAAACCACCCATAAGCCGCTATGCATCAGTCCTGCCAGACTCCAATATGAAATTGGCCACATGAGAGTGCTCAACAAGCATCAGGTTCCTATTCGGCCATTCTATGCTTCAAATGAGTACTAGTTCAGACAAAAGAAAAATTCCCTAGTTCTAATTCCACAATGCCATTGAGTTCTCAACAAACCTCCAAAGTAATCAACGTCATCATCTAACAGGACGTCGAAAAGCACCACAGAACATTGATTGAATGAAAATCATAATAGTAACAGACAACTCTTTCATCCAAGTAGTTCCTTCCTAATAAAGATAATTTTCTGTTCTCACTTCCCAATTAAATTAAAATAGGGGCCAAATGTTCCTTCCAATAAGAAAAATGAGGGGAAAGCAAAGCAAAGTCTAACAGAAGCAAAAGGAGAAAAATAATTGATTGGAAAACAAAGGGAAACAGAAGCAAAAGGAGAAATAGTAGATTAGAAAGCAAGTAGAATCTTAAATTGTTAGATGTTCACAGTGAAGATAATTAGATGGAAAACAGTAATATAAACAAGTAAAAAGAAAAAGATCAGAAGGGAGCAGACCTCTCCATCAGATCCCCGTATAGTGAGTCGATATACAACGGTGATGGTTCCATCATCAGCGAATTTCACATCACGTACTTCTCCACACCATCCTGCGACAAATATTGAATCCACCAATTCTTAAAACCATTCACAATTTAAACTGGAAACTCAAAATTAAGGGAGGGGGCAAACCAGGGGCATAGAAGCTCAGCATGCGATTGGCATGGTACCTGGGGTGATCCAATAAGAAAAGATCAGATCAAAACTGAATAAGATTGAGAAATCCAAAAACAAAACAAAACAAAAGCCAAGAATTAGTACCAAGGGAGGAACGTGGAAGAAGCAGAAGAGCTAGAAGGAGCGTTGATTATATTCTCAGGGACACGCTTATTGAGATCGCGCAGGATTTCGACGAGAGGGCGAGTGATGAAGGAGTTGGAGGGTGAAAACGTCTTGTCCAGAGGCACAACGTAGTTTGAATTCGGGACACCCTTTTCCGCATTGCTGCTGCTGCTGCAACGAAGATGGTCAATGAATCGGGCTCTCCCCCTGCACGCGCCGCCAACCGCCAGCCGCCCATTATAATCGGAAGAGAGCTGCGGCGACCACTGCGAGTGGAGGACGACAGAGGTTTGCAGTTGGAACGATGCCATTATAATTCCTTAATTTTTTCTTCGAATTCGCAAGTTGGTTTTCGTGAAAGGCAACTATGAATTAAATATATATATATATATATATTATATTATTGAATGGCCATCGGTTTGGTACTCCACCTACCTCCTTCCCCTCTTCAAACCTACCCTCTTTGTCTTCTTCTTTCTTCTCTGCAATCTAATGTACATATTTATGCTACAATTTCACTGCTGTATCTTTGTAATTTATTTTACAAGTAAATTGTGATTTAAGAAATTAAATATAAAAATTGAGAAAAATATTGAAGTGGGTAGTTGAGGATGAGGAGAACAGAGCACGAGTTTTTGCATTTGAAAAATATTCTCAAAGCGATAAATTTTGACTTTTATATTTGAAAAATGTGTCAGAGCCATACAAATATTTTTTTAATATTCATTTATTGTTTATGTTCTTGTGTTTGTTTTATGAATTATAAATTTGTATTTTTTATTAAGAAATGATTATTTATATTAACAAATTATTTGTGAGTTTAATTTTTTTAATAAAAATATTTAAATTTATTTTTAATAAAAATATTATGTTTAAAATAATTATTTATCTCAGAAAGTTTTTCTTATCACTACATGCATAATTGTTTGAACTCGAGTCCTCTAAAAAATATTTTGTATATTACTAAGTCTACTTAATGAATTTTATTCTAAGTAGACTTATGTGTTGATAACGTTAACGTGTTCCCTTTTTTTTTTAATTTTCATGGATTTAAATTTTTATAATAAAATGAAATGTAATTTTTCGACACATATTGTGTAAATTAAAATTTATATAATCTTATTTATTTAAATCTTAAAATCTAAAATTTTATATCCTTAAACTTAAATTCTATACTAAAAACCTAAAATTTTAAACTTAAACCATAAATTATAAAATCTAAATTTTAAATAGGACAAACAATATTAAAATAAATAGACCTGTATAAATAATTTTTATATCAAATAGTTATTCTAAAATTAATATGTTTATTTACATTTAATATTTATATTGTATTTGATGAATTGATAGTTATATACATCAAGTTCAATCAAATTCATGAATTCTTATGTTTTTTGGTTACCTATCCAAGAAAATGGAAAACGGCACTTTTAACCCCTTAAAAATATGAAATTATAAATTAATAAAAAGGGTAAAATTTACTTTAACCCTTTCATAAATTTAAACTTAAATTTATACTAGCGTTAATTGCATCACGTGTCTTCAAAGTATGACCATCATTTTAAATTAGTCCATAAACTTTTAAATGTTATAGTTTCATCCCTAAACTAGTGCTCAAACTTTTGAACATTTCAGTTTCGTTCCTAAACTATGACCTACATTCTAAATTGATCCTGAACTTTTTGAACATTCCAATTTCATCCCAAACTATATGTATATACTCACCATATCTCTTGTTAATAAAGTCGTTACGTCAAGTTACATTATTATATGTTAAAAAAACAAAATTTAGGTTAAACTATGGTTGAACTTAATTACATATTTGGATGAATTTAGCATATTCAAAAATTTGGGGACAATTTAGGAAAGATTATTATAGTTTAGGGATGAAATTAGAATGTTCAACAGTTTAAGTACTAATTTAGAATGAGAATTATAGTTTGGGGATGAAGTTGGATTATTCAAAAGTTTAAGGACCAAATTAATTATAGTTTGAGGACATATGATGCAATTAACTCTTTAAATTAATACAAGGATATCTCCTTGTGCATTTCCAAATTCAAAGCTACCAAAACGGCAGCACCTACTTAAAAAGAAGAGAAGAAAATACAGTATTTTTCATTATTTTTAATTTTCGAAATTCTCCACTCGCAAAGTCTTGTATGTGATAAGAAATACATGGTTACTTCGATTGTTTGGTGGCCAGGGGATTGGAGGCCACCCACGTTGACAACATGCATAACATATGTACAACATACGGGAACGTGCTCGTAGCCTACTGGCCGATGGGTGGTCGGAAATTCCTGAAGAAGCCACTTGCACCAATGTGGAGCAGGTCTTTTCTTTTAAAATTCCTTCAAATCAACTTCATTTCCATTTTATTCTGTAGAATGTAGAATTATGTTATTCTTAATATTGACTAGTTCTTTCTTGCGTTCTGTAGCTTATGGAGCCTCTTGAGATCTTCTACCGATCACTCTGCGCTTGTGGCGATCGAACAATAGCTGATGGAAGCCCTCTTGATTTCTTACGGTAAGTTTCCACCTTCGGGATTTCATTTGTAAGACCTGATATCCGTCAAGAATCTGACCGGCATACCGATGTCCTTGATGCCATCACAAAGCACCTAGACATCGGATCTTATAAAGAATGGCCTGAGGAATACCGACAGGAGTGGCTCTTATCAGAACTCAGAGACAAGCGCCCACTATTCGGTCGATCTTCCCAAAACAGAAGAAGTCGCCGATGTGTTTAACACATTTCATGTCATTTCAGAACTGCCACCAGACAACTTTGGTGCATATATAATCTCGATGGAAACAACCCTATCTGATGTGCTTGCCGTTGAGCTTTTACACGTGAATGCCATGTGAAGTACCCGTTACGGGTAGTCCCATTGTTTGAAAAACTTAATGATCTCGACACTGCTCCCGCTGCCGTGGCTCATCTCTTCTCTATAGATTGGTACAAAAACCACATCAGTGGAAAACAAGAAGTAATGATAGGCTACTCTGAAAGGATGCCGGCCGTCTCTCTGCTGCTTGGCAGCTATACAAGGCTCAAGAGGAACTCGTAAAGGTGGCGAAGCAATATGGGATTAAGCTCACAATGTTCCATGGCTGAGGAGCGACGGTTGAACGTGGAGGAGGACCTACCCATCTTGCCATACTGTCTCAACCACCGGACACCATTCATGGAACACTTCGTGTAACGGTTCAGGGTGAAGTTATTGAGCAATCATTTGGAGAAGAGCACTTGTGCTTCAGGGCACTTCAGCGTTTTACTGCTGCTACACTTGAGCACGGAATGCATCCCCCCGTGTCACCAAAGCCAGAATGGTGTGCACTCATGGATGAAATGGCAGCTGTTGCAACAAAGGAATACCGTTCCTTAGTCTTTCAGGAACCTCGATTCGTTGAATATTTCCGTCTGGTAAGTATTTCACTGTTATTAAATGCTACAAACTTCGGATAAAGATTTAGGGATAAGAATATGGATCGGGTTGAGAAATCTGTATGTGAATTAACTGGTTGCAGGTGACACCAGAATTCGAGTATGGTCGGATGAATATCGGCAGTCGTCCATCAAAACGAAAACCAAGTGGAGGCATCGAATCACTCGTGCAATCCCATGGATCTTTGCATGTGCCCAAACGATATTTCATTTGCCTGTATGGCTTGGCTTTGGGGCTGCTTTTAAGCATGTCATCGACAAGGATAAAAAGAATATCCAAATTCTTCAAGACATGTATAACCAATGGCCTTTTTTTAGGGTCACAATGGACTTGATCGAAATTGTGCTCGCCAAGGGAGACCACGGAATTGCTGCCTTGTACGACAAGCTACTAGTATCACAGGATCTCTGGTCCTTGGGACAGAAATTGAGAACAAACTATGAAGAGACCAAAAGTCTTATTCTCCAGGTAATAGGGATATGGCTTATGTTGTTGATAGGCTAAACCAAAATTGACTTTCTTTCCATTGCATTGCAGGCTGCTGGACACAAAGATCTTGAAGGAGACCCGTACCTGAAGCAGAGACTCCGCCTTCGTGATGCTTACATCATGACGCTTAATGTGTGCCAAGCATACACATTGAAGAGGATCCGAGACCCCGATTATCACTGCAAGGTGAGGCCTCACTTATCCAAGTACACACCGAGCAAGTCTGCTGCGGACTTGTGAATCTGAACCCGAAAAGCGAGTATGCTCCTGGTCTTGAAGACACCCTTATTTTGACCATGAAGGGTATCGCTGCTGGCTTGCAGAACACTGGTTGAAAGTTTAAACCCACTGTAGTTTTTTATCTTCTCATGCATGCTTTTTTTCCTATTGATTGTCTGAATTCTATTGCCTTTCAAGGGTGAATTTTGCATCTAATAAATCTATTATTATTATTATTATTATTTTCTTTTAATATGATAAAAAATTTATACGATAATGAAAAATGAGTTCATAACAATTCGTCAACACAACCAACAATCAGTTGGTCTAGTGAGATGAGACAATAAATTCTTTAAACAAGGTTAGGATTTTGAATCCTAACGTTTGCGTATGGAGCAAACTGAATTGGAAGGGGAGACACTAAATTCCTTAAACAATGTCAGAGGTTTGAATCTCGACGTTTGCGAATGGAACAAACTGGGTTGGAATGATCACTCTCACCTCTGTAGTACCTGATCCGAATTAGTCAATTAATAAATCGGATATCAGGGTTATAAAAAAAACAATTCGCCAACACAACATTTAATATAATTCAAGCTTCCCTCATATTTCTTTTTTAATTTTCTAGAGTTAATTATTATGATTTAGGGCTTAAAATATAAAGTTAGTATTTAAGGTTTATATTTCACAAGAGATGTACTTGATGTTTAGAATTTAAATTTTAATGATATTTTAATTTTTTATTTAATATTTAGTATATACGGTACAACATTTCATATTTACATTTATTTAGTTTTTTACAATTCATATTGAAATTTTGAGATTTTTGTTTATATATATTTTATAATTTAGTTTTTTTCTAATTATATATATATATATATATTAAATTTATTATTAGAAATTTTAATTTATGAAAATCATATATTATTTAAAAAGCATGTCACATTCTGAAGGTACCGTATGTAAAGGTTTTCTTTTTCTTTCTAAGATCGTCCACTTAAATAAGTAACAGATCAATATTTTTAAGTATGAGACGTACCAAAATAGAAAAATGATATAATTCAGGGGCTAAAATGAACTGTATAAAATTATATATTATCACAGAAACGAAATACTTGGTTCTAATGATATGTAACAATCAATCGTAGGGAATTCTTTGTTTTAATAATACGTAACAAACCACACAGGAATTATACATGGACATCTAGAAATTATACAGAGTATAATGGCCATCATCATTTTGCCAAGAAGAATGATATATAATACTAAGATCGATGGTTCAGTTGTTTTTGATATTAGACTTTTGGTTTTCCCCAACAACTGTAATAGCGTCGTCTATGGCTTGAAAGAAAGTTGCAATCTTGTATGTGAAGAATCCCACAAGCATTGGAATCAATTCTAACTGCATATATCCATATTCTGGAACAAGGATCCTACACATCATCCATTGCCAGCATGTTTTTAGCGCAATAATTCCAACAAGATTGATATTTCGTTAGTGGGTTTTCAACCAATATTGGGGGAGGGGGAAACATAAACTCCAAATAAATCATATCTTTAACCCGAGAATTCCAACACCCGACCTTATAGCTCTTATGGTAGAACAAGTTACAGTATATGATCAAGAAAGGGAACATCTAAGACACCATGATTCAATATCTGGTAAACTTTTTTCTTTTAAGTGATATGAAAATGGAAATTCTATGCATCAAGGGAAAAGTTCAAATAACAGTCAAGGGCACACATGTAGCTAGGTGCACTCTTTTCCCTTAACAAAGTTTGAGGTGTTGGGTTCAAATCTAGGCATATGGCATGTTTTAGGAGGAATAAGGGGAAGCAAGAGGGTTATCTTCCTCCGTTACTCAAACTCCCTAATCAATAGATTTTACAAAATACAGAGCAAGACCAGAGAGGCAAAGTAATAGTGACGGTCAGAAGCAGGTGAAGGAGTGGCAAGCATAGATATCAAAAGAATTTCAATAGACTGGCTTCAAAAGAGGAGTAAATTTAAATTAACAGATGTATCATAAGCAATACTTAAGAATAATGAAAGACAATGGGCAGCTTACCCATTCCAACGATTATAGATCATGACCAATACAACAGGAACTAATAGTCTTGGTTGTGCGACTGCCCCCCTGCAGCCAAAGCTCAAAATGAATTAAAAGGTAAAATCCAGTAACTATAGACTGAGAAGGTTATATAAGGAACAAAAGTGGAAAGATATGCCGACTTTCCCATACTCCCGAACATAGTATTTTAGTGCAAGATTTGTTGGGTCCAGGTTAATGCTATTGACGCTGCATTCAGGGCTTGCCCTCAGCTTGTTTGGGACAACACATTGTGATTGTTACAATGCCCCAAAGCAGGTAGCAACCAACTTTAATCGCATCAGTAATGTGAAATTAGTATTGGTTACAGGGAAAATAAGAAAGCCATAACAGAGGAAACAAGAATCAAGAGGGTAGAATAGAGAAGAAAGACACCTCCCTCTCTTGTTATATTTTGCTACCAAAATTTGTCCTTGTTTCTAGAATGAATGTATTTCCAAGCTTTGATAGGGGGGGAAAAAACTACCTTAGGTACATTAATAACCAAAATATTTCTAATGAATATCTCTGCATTCGAAACAAATTCTCTACTTGTACACTGCTACCAACATTTGTCCTCTCTAAGAAATTTTATTTCCGAAATTGGATTGAAAAAAAAAAGCAACTTTACTTACTTCATAACCCCCTTTGCTCCTTCTGCTAAAGAATCCACACTAGTTCCTAGCATTCGCATATACACCAAAGAACCAAGCAACCCAGCACCAAAGCTGCAATCAAGAATATTGACAAAAGTTTCAAATATGGTTATGGTGGAGAGAACAATGAACTCTTAATTAAAAAAATTATACTCAACAATAAAATAGATCTTGAACTATAAAATTAATTTACCTTTTCCACCTATAATCACAACTAAACAATCTTTATCGGTTCAAAAGGGATTGTTACATAAAGCAAGTTAGTGGTGGCATGTTTTAATTGAAATTATGTCTCTTGACAAATATCTGACAATACTAGTAAGCTGGGACCAATAGCTATACGAAAAGGAATTGATGTAGATGATCATGCCTTGCCCATGGCTAAAAGCAAGATTTCAAAGCTATTGATAATTATCCAAGTCTACAAAATACTAAAAACTGTATCTACATGTATATCAGGATCCAAAAAGCAACGAAAAGCATAAATAACAAAAATTGTTCTTAAATTTTAAGTTGAGTTCTAATCCTGTCATTACATTTAAATTTCAACATTTTAAAAAGTGGTTTGAAACCATTTTTAAGTGGTCCAGTCTGATTACCAGTAAAAAGATGACAAAAAGAAACCCATGCAGGATCCTAAGTAGCTCAATATTATTTTTACCTCCTTTTCCTTCTTTTTTGTTTACCCTAACCAGTGGAAGGAATATGAAAGAATACAAATTTGTTATGTAGCCTCCAAATAACCAGTTCTAGAATTCATAACCTGCATTTCTCCCTTCTCAATTACTAGATAACAAACGATAAATATTGCTCTGAGGTTCAGGTTCTGCATATTGATTAGTCTGGAAGTTTACTCAGACAATTTAGTTGTATGACTAGGCCATAAAATTTTAAAACAAAAGAAGGGGGGGAAATAGAGAGAAAGACGCGGATAGATGTTACAGAATGTTAATTACCAATAACATCCACATATAAGTGCAAAATTTTAATCACAATAGGAACACAATAAGATGGACTGGTAAGAATGCACTGAATAACTAAAACATGTGCAAACAGGTACGAACCTAGCTGCGACTTCAGGAGAGTAAGAAACATAAGCTGAGACTAACCCCACACCACCTATAACCAAGGTAAGAACTTGCAACTTATTTTTCAACTGCAGAAGGAATTTAAAAAGTTATATATAGAAGAGAATTCTTGACATATCTCTTATGATAGATGCAAACAGAATGAAACTGTAACAAATGAGATGAAAAGACCAAAACCAACTACTCCAACTACCTTAAAGTACTGCTCCCTTGATTGAGCAGCCAGTAGTTCAGGGTCTCCTTGAGGCCGCCGCAGTTCCCGGAGCATCACGTCCTAGATGGAAGAACAAAAACAGAATCAGAAGATACAAAATCAAGGTATGACAGTGGCACGGATCAACATAATTAGAGCTCCTATTTTTTAAGCTAAAAACCAAAGCCAAATGTGGGTTTCAAAGTCTAAAATATCTAATACTGTGTGTTTCAGCCTTTCTTGACCAGCAACAAAGTGAAATACAATATCACTTACACTGCCACCTGTTGAAGCCTTTGTTGCTTTATCCCACTTTTCTTGTTCACGCCTTGTTGGTACCAATTTCCATCTGCGCGACATGCTGCCACTGCTCTGCTAATCATTTTGTTCCAATAAATTAAATAAGAAAAAAAATGGTAATTACAGAGTAAAGTCCACTATAACAACAAGTACTGATAGAAAACAAAGACTACTTGTCTTACTCGATTTGTAGTTTCAACAGCCCGTTGTAACACAGGCTTTGAAGGTGCTGTAAGTTCCTTGCTCAGGTCAACTTCCAGACTATTTATATTCACATAATTTCAATTAGAAACAAAACAATAACACCAGCAACCAAAATGAAAGAAAGAAATACCAACGTCGGAGCTAAAAGAGACAAACCTGTCAAGGCTCATAACTCGATTCAAGCTTAAGAATCCAGAAGACTCTTCCTGTTTACACCAAACCATATGAACTGAATTATAACATGAAGGAGGAGAAAAATAGGATAATAATCTAATTACTGTATGTTTATCAAATCAGAAAATACATATATATCTTTTCTAAAGTGATTAAAATGGTAAACATAAACGGCATTCCAAACTCCAATTGTGCTATCAAACTACAAAAACATAAAAATTAACAAAACAGAAGCACCCCATAGTGAGAAGAAGACAAATAAATCGAAAGAAATAATATATTGGAGCTTAACAGGAGACGATTGAAGAGAAGAATTCTCGCCGGCGGCAGTATCGGGGTCCTGAATTAGCTTCTTCATCCTATCAACGAATTCTTTGTTCCAAATGAAGTCATCGGAAGTTAAAGGGTCTTCCTTTTCGCCACCCCAGTACTTACGAAGCTTGGAGGTTGTGGGTGGTCCGCCATAGTCCCCCGGAGCCACACCTGTTGACCATTTAAGCGCCTTCTTCTTCGGCAGCATGACTTTGGTCGGTCTCTGGTTTGGTGTTGGCCGTTCTTGAGAGAGTGCTGCTGTTGGTGAAGTTAGTCCCAGTGATATAGAGTTCAGTACGGCCATTGTTAACCGAAGCCAAGAGCTTGCTCAATACAGCAGGGAAAAATGAAGATTTATGTTTCGTTCGTTCGTTTAGAAAACAAAAGCGAGGAAAATATCTAGTTTGGATTTGGTGTAATCGTGTCCATTGAATTTCCACAAAATTCTCATCTCAGCTTTCACTTGATTTTGTGCTCACAAGAAAAAGGAAATTTTATTTTAAAAAAATATTATATTAAAAAACAGGTATGAGGATTCGTTACAAACGATGCTACATGCACATATACGATGTTTATAACATTTTTATGTAATATAGAATTGAATCATATATGCACTTAAGGTACAATTAAGGGATAGTTATTTGAAAAAAAATAAAGATTTGGAGATGGTATAAAAAGAATTAAGAAAATATAAATATGATTGCCGATAAAAATGAGATTAGTCTCAATAAAGACGTTGATGGTAGTCGATCATTTATTTGTTTTTCTTGTATTTTAAATTAATTTTGAGTTTCTTAATGAAATTTGTCATTTCATAATATTTTTAAAGAATTTTATTTTATTTTTGTATTTTTAGTTTTCTTTAAAGTTGTTATAAACTAGAAAGATTAATTAATTATTTTCTTAATACAATTTTATTTTTTATTTTATAATAATTTCAAAAAATTACTTTATAAAATCAATGGTTTTATTTAAAAATTAAATTTATTCAATGAACATTTACATTAATTCTACTCCAATCTAATCCAAGGTCACCGCTAAATCTCTACACCCCCATAAGCAGTCAATTTTAGGGACGAATATACACAACCAACAGCAGTTTATTTGGGCCCGAGGCTGAAGCCCCAAACCCGGAGTCTTTAGTCAAATGGGTTAGCTGCGTCATTTGGCAGGTAAGGCGGAGGACGTTTTAGTATTTCGTTCGTGAAGTATAAAAACCCTAACGCTACCAGTCTGCATTTCTGGCCTCTATATATATGCAAACCCTCACCATCTTCTTCTTCCTCCGCAGCGTAATCCGAGTAAAAGAAAGCAGTTGTTTTGAATTCGTTTGCTCTTTTATGTATTTTCTCTCTTTCTCTCATTAATCATTTCCGTGAGGATTTAGATAGTTTTGAAATATCATTAACGCCGTGTACAATAAGCCGATGCTCTGGAAAATAACGAAGGAAGCATGGTAATGTGCACGGAGATTGAATATTCCGATGGGACGACATGTCTGCTCTCTCTGAGCCTGGCTTTGATGAGGGGGCCTGGTTTACTCCTACATTTGCTTCTTCACTTTCTCTGTTCTTTTTTTTTTTCCCTTTAGGAAAATTTAAAATCCATTTTTGGATTTGTTTATTTTTTTCTAATAGTTTTGTTCCAAATTACTAACGCAAGACTTTGCTGGATTCTGGATAGCTTGTTATATATATAACAGTAACTACAAGTAAATTGGGTTATACTAACTGAGTGTGCTTGAAATTGCGAGCGCACTACTTTTGACGTTTTTATTCAAATATCACTCATTCAAAAATTAATATATTATTTAACGACGAATGATTAAAATAAAATCAAAATTTAACTTTAGATGTGCTTTTGAAAAATATGATAATTAATGAGTAAAAATTGATAATTAGATGGTTAAATATATAATTTTTCCTAAAAATAACCATACAGAGTTTACATATTAAAAGCTTATTTATTTCTTTGGAAATCGACTAGGTTGCGTGTGTACACATTATCAAGTGCATAAAATAATCATTTATAATAAGATTAAATGATGGGCTCATCACTAGATAAAGTTTCTCTTGGTATCGAATTACATAAACAATCATTAGTTTTCTTTTCTTGCCTAGCTATTGAATTTTATAAATATATTAATTTTATTATGAAATTATATTATAAATATTATAAAACCATGTCGTAAAGTTACTATCAACTATAATTTAACATATATATTATTTTTGTTAAAATTATAATAAAATGTTAAGTTGATTTAGTGATCGGGTGTCAATCTTTTCTTTCAAAGATTTTTAGTTTTTGAACCCTTTTATGCGCATTTCGATTGGAACATATCAATTTATTGTAAAGACATATCATGTTATAGACTGATGAAAATATAGTTTGTCATTATCACATCATCATATTGTTAAAATTAAATATTTCAATGTTATAGTTGAAAGTTTAATGATATTTAATGTAGTTTATTCTAAATTATATTATTAATTTTTAAAATTTCATTAAATTTAAATATGAAATAAATTATTAATTAAATGTATCATTATATGAGCATAAAATATTTTTCGTGCTATTATTATTAAATTTATAACAAATGGTAAGAAAAAGTAATAAAAATAAGCAGGGTTATTATTTACCATTTGATTTTCAAAAAATAATCATGTACAATACATTATTGTATTCATTTTAGTAATTGTTTTATTATATATATAGAAGAGATAAGGGCAGTAGAATTAATGCAACTAATCTAGGGATGCTTCATGGTTGAGGAATTGTACATTAAGAAAATATAAGAAGTGAGTTGATCAAAAGCAAGATTAGCAACATGATTAACTTTTAATCATGCTTCTCTTTGATGTTTCATATTTAAATAAATAAATAAAAGAAACATTTTTTATTCATCCCAAGCAAATAATCAAGGACAAATTTGACCGTTTCATCACATCTCATCTTACTGCCCCGCAGCAAAAGCCTGAACGGGAAAAGTCTTGGTAATCCCGGCAAGGCTCTTGAAATGGATCCTCCCGGGTTGTTTCTCATCCACCGTGATCTCGTTTACTGGCGGCCACAGCATCATCTCCTTGGCCTTCACTCCCTTGAGCTTCTTGATCCGTTTCTTCTCCACGAACCCGTTGATCTCGGTGTCGTAACTCACCAGCTTGCTGATCATCTTGAACTCGTGCTCCACTTTCTTCTGCTGCACGATCCACATGTACCCGGTCTCTTTCACGAACCCCACTTCCACGACGTTGGCCAGCGGAAGAAGCCCCTCGGGCAGCTCCATCTCTTGCAAAAGATCGACCGCCATTTTCATTCCTTCGTCGTGACCTTTCTTCACGGTGCCCCCTTCCTTGTTATCTGCCATGCTAATGCTTCAAATTAATCCCTCAAAAACTTGATTTACTGTAATTGAAGATGGATGGATGTTCTTCAGGGGAAATGTATATATGGTTTTAGAGATAAATGTGGGACAAAATTAGTGTGGCAAAACCAAGTACGCATATGCATTGAAGTAATCGTCCAATGCATTAACCTATGTTTATGCTTTTACATAATCCTTCTCATCTCCGTGTCTATATGTTTTTGTCATACTCCATATCCAGATTTCATTGTGTATAATCGGCTGGAGAATCTTCAACGTTAATTTTCGATTCTTTACAATAAAAAGCAAGGATTTAGTATATTTAACGTTGTTCGTATTGATTTTACCTTGTAATGTAATTCAGAGACACCATTAATCATTTGTCTAATGATAGATTATTAGTATATTTGTATAATACTTACGAATGCATTTTAACAAATCAAATACTTTTAGTTGGAAAATTTGTTTAATTAATTTATTAAAAATATATCTTGAATTAAAGCATGATATTATAACCTTATTCTTAAGTTATAAGATCAATTTTACTAGTTATTATTTTATCTTTAATTCAATCATAACCTTTACCATATCAAACTTTTGAGTTTGTATTTTACTTAATAATTATTTTAAATCAAAATAACAATCAAATTGATAAAAAAAATTTAATCAAATTACTTTAAACTAAGACAAATTTGAAAAATTGTGTAAATTTTGAAACTAAAACTATTATTATACTATTCTACATTATCGTTTTCATTAAGTCAGCATATTAAAATATAAACAAAACATAACGTTGGATATGGTTTTGAAAATAATAATTAGGTGACCAAAATAAAAATATGGAAATAGGTGAGATGCCAAATAAGTAGTTTACCCAAATATTAATAAATAGAAATGACGCTTTCCCATCAAACAGATTACTATATGTTTTGTAGGAGTACAAAATCACAATGAACCTATAATTGTCTCCTTAATGTTTACTCACATTGCATTGCAGGTAAACAGTCATCCTAGTGACAGTAGAGCTTGATTGTTGAATCAGCACCTGCAGTGAATAACCATGGCTGCCTTGGATTGAACGTACAGTCCAGTACTCCTGCAATCAACCAACACCCCATTTACTTTGCAACTATATGCACACCTTCGTTCATTTGGAAAATGTAAATTATGCTGTCCAAACCGAGTTGGAAAACCAAACTCACCTCTTCCATCTGAACTAGTATGCCCTCTAAGAATTTCCAACGGTACAATCCGAGGATTCTCATTAAGATCCGCGTAAACCATGCCATGAAAGACATAGGCAGTGCCATCATCCGAGCACGATGCAAATAGTGGGTATGAACGGTGGAATGTCACATTAGTAATGTCTTTACGATGACAACTGAAATGTTCAGGAAAAAGAAAGGTGTGAAGCTTAAAACCAATATAAAACCATGACAGAAGACTGGGCCAGAAAGTTCTGATATGAAAATTCTACGCCTGCACACTTGCTAATTTAAATAGTATTGGCGTGTTGACTTTCCTTATTGCTCAAACAATGATTATACTTAGTTAAATGGTATTTAATGACTTCAACGATTAGCTAAAGAACTTGATGAAGACCTATCTATATCAGTTTCACGAGATCAAAGAACATATAATTAAAAGTAGTGTTTATCAAGAAAACCATGGTCACATACTCGAGGTTTTGGTAAGGTTTTGATGACAGATCCATGTCAAACCAACGCAATTTTCCCTCTTTGCTCCCCACAATTACATTATCACCTGCAGATGAAACAGGCATCAAATATTAAGAATAATACTTGGGGGGCGGGGATTGCAAGGCACACAGATTGTAGCAACAAACGAAATCAGAGAAAAAGGGAGATACCAGCAGGATGAACAGCAATTGATGAAACTTCACGCAGTTGAGTCTCAAGCTTTTTTATTAGCTTTTGCTTCAACATATCATACACACGAACATTCTTCTTTGTTGCAACGAAGAAGATAGAACGAGTAGGATGAAAAGCTAACGACACTGGGAGGCCATGGAGCTTAAAAGGGAATCGCTGAGTAAGCCTCTTAGAGAGCTGATGTATAAGAACTGCTCTTGATTTACGTGATTAATTCAATAACATGAGAAGAGTCTACCAAAACATCAACAAGAACAAATAAACATAGACAAAAGAAATGAGTAGACCCAGGGGCGAACTCCAAAAATGGTAAAATTGTTTGTAAGTCCCTCTAAAAATCATAGAATTATAAGTTACTACATGGTGAAATTACATTTTCACCACTTTAAAAATGAGAAATCTGTGATTTCATCCTAAAAATTGTTAACTTAAAAGCTAATATAGTGATAAAATTGTATTTTTGACTCCTATAAAAATTTATAATTCAACTTTAACCCACCCCAAAAAAAATCTGGCGGACTCCTGTGTAGAGACTTCTCATATTGGTCTTTTAACAATGACTATTGAAAATGAAATCATTTTTTTGCAGACGACACCAATTGATGCATAGAAGTCAGAACAGAAGAAAATGTAATGATTTAGATAACACTCAGAAAAGGATATCTGCAGGCATCAAAGTAGAAAGATAGTCTCCTTTACGATGCCATACTACTGAAGATACAGTCTGCAAAACCACATCCAAGCAAACGGTTATCATTTTCCTATAAAGCCTTTAACCAATCCTCTGGTTCAACATTATTAGGTAATTCTGAGTGCAAATAACGAAAGAGATGGGAACAGAAACCGAGTACCCTATAATGCCTTAGCCGGATGCAGTCATGCTGTTCATCTTGAAGCCAGCTTAAGTAAGATGACATATCATCTGTGCATTAAAGTAATATTTTCCAGAGTCAGACCATATCCTTTATTCAACACATTTGAAATAATAAATGTTTCAAACAGACCAGAATCATCAGAGGTTGGTGTTCCAATATGCAGAAGATTCTTAATTTCTTTCTGTTCTTCCTCATTGCCAAATCCGGTGTTCAGAATAAGAACATCAGCTCCGCTGTCAAACATTAGAGTCTTAGCATGGAACACAACAAGAGGTTGGCAAACAACGTCATTTGAAGAAACAGGTAGTGAAAAAGAGGATACAAAAAGCAGAGTGAAATTAATTACAATCTAATCAGCCTTACGCTGAAACTGCCAGAATAGGATGTGCTGGCAAAGGATTCCATGCAACATGCTGAACCACTTCACCAATCTCCCAAACTCTAAGACATCTGCCAGTCTCCACCTCCCAAATACGCACAGTTCCATCCTTGGAACCTTTACAAACATAAGCAATTATCAAACACTAGTGCACTGATTTTATAGAGCGGAATCATCTTATACTTTGACCACAAATCATAGTTTATAGGTAAATTGTTCATACCGGATGCAATCCATTGCCCTGAAGGTTCCACGGATATTGACAAAACTGCACCCACATGACCTTTATACTCCAAATAGCATGCAAATGGATAAGGCCTAAGATCCTTTTTATTGGGTAGCTTGGGCTTGAGGGATTCAGGGTCGATATTGATCTGAAGCATGGAAAAGAGCAATTTAGATTAACTTGTCTATGACGCCAAAATGGCATAAAGGACATTAGGCCAGGAACCATTATGATTTCCTTCAAAAAAAATCACAGACTTACACGTTTCTTCCACACTCTAGGGCACAGGTATAGATCCAAGCATCGTTCAAAAGAGTCCTTGACAGCATTCTCATATGCTGGGATGCTTCTAAAGGATGTGAACCTAAGCATATCAACATGATTAGTATGCTAGATATTAAACTCTCAAACTTACAAGCAAGTAAAAGTGTAGATACTTTCAAGTGCCTTTGTAATTAACAAATCATGTGTTAGTACCGTAAAAGTGTATATACTTTCAAGTTTCAAGTGAAATTGTAATTAACAAATCATGTGTTAGTACAGTACAAGTGTTGATACTTTCAAGTGAAATTGTAATTAACAAATCATGTGTTAGTACATTACCTTCTAGGTATAAATCTAGGGCGGTCTTCTTCATACATCAGCTGATAAGAGTTGATCTCTTCTTGTGTTGGTATGTATTCTAAAGAAGGATTATATGATCCCTCATGACCTGAAAATCAATAAGAGCAAAGCTTTCATAATAGTTCAAATAGCATAACAAAATGTAAATTCAAAGAACATGGCCCAAAGCCAAACCAGGCAATTTAGGTTTCGGGGGAGGAATGTAAGCCAAATGCTTAGTCCTATTAGCTGAGTTTGAATCATCACCCCAGAGGGAATAAAAACGAGGATCTTCTTTTGGCTGGTCAAACTTTATTAATCCTTTACGAATTGCCCTAACATACTCAACAACCTGTAGATTAACAAGTCAAATATTATGAAAAACAGAAAATTCACCCTGTTAAAAGTCCAAAGGTTGGCAACTAACTTTAAAAATGGTTTTCAAAGTTTGGTAAATGTTTCTTTGAAAATGGTTTTCAAAGTTTGGTAAATGTTTCTTTAAAAAATGTTTTTTAAAGTTTGGTAGATGTTTGTTGAAAATAGGAATGGGTAAATTCACTTTAGTCATTGCACTGTAGGGTATTTTCAAAAATTAGTCCCTAAGTTTCAACTATAAATACCCTAGCTCATTTAGCTTCAAAACTATCCCAAAAATCATTTCTTTCTCCCAATACTAGAGAGCTTTCTTGTGAGTAGTGAGTGTTTTGTAAACACTTGTAAATTTTCTCTCTTAGTGAAAGATCTGCAGCAGTCCGGAGACGTAAGCAAAATTGACTGAACTCCGTTATCAATTTCGGGTATTATTTTTCCGTTTTTATTTCGCATTCTCACTAATCTGGTTATAGGAAAATTACTTGTACTCGGTTTATTTCCTAACAACTGGCATCAGAGCTTTTGGTTGTGAATTTTGTCAAATTTTTTTGCGAGGTTACTATTCATTACTATTCACGTGAATAGTGAATTCTGTGAATAGTAAAAATTTTGTCGGCGATACGAGTTTGTCGACGGAGGTGTTCTAATACACGGTGGTTCGCAAGAATTGTCAGAAATGATCCAAACGAAACCAGATTCGAGTGGGAGCGATGGCTGCAGACGAAGGGAAT